GTGTACTGTTGCTGTCGGGAACAAGCTCTCTGTGGATTGACTGGATATGATTCTGGAGTTCGCTTTCTGATTCAAATTTAACATTGCAACTAGAACAACGTGTCTTCAGTCCCCCTGCCTTGCTTTTGTTCTCAATGGAACTCAAGTTCTCATTCTGGCCCAGGCCTTGTCTGTTACTGCTTGAAGGGATGTTGACACTTGGACTACCACTTTTACTGAGATTAACACAGCTAGCACACAGACCATATGGCAGACCGTTGATGTCAAGTTTCACTAAATCCTGTTTTGAACGGAATTCCTTCAGGCAAGAAGCACATTTGTACAGTTTCTGAAGATGCTGTGCTCGCCCCGTAGTCTGCACCGCAGAACCGTTTCCTGTTTTTTGCATGTGGAATGTCCCGTGGATTTTCAGCTCCAAGGTAGAGGTCACCGTTTGCATGCATACCACACAGCGGAATCCTGTTAAGGAATTTCTCAAATCAGGGTGCATTTGGCAATGCTCCAAAAACTCCTCCTCGCTTTGGAGAGGCATTTTGCAAATTCTGCAGTTTCCAGTATCCAGGCTCTTACTATGAGTGACTTTATGTTCAGTAAGAGTCAGAAGAGATGGAAACCGCTCACCACATATCGGGCACATATAGTGTTTCACTGGTCCCAAGTGCGTCTGCATGTGCTCACGGAGCCCATTTTCAGAGAAGAAGGTTCGAGAGCACACGTTACACTTGTAATTCCCTTTAATGAGTTCAGCCTTTTTCTTAACTATGGCACTTTCTCCAGGTCGGATATTGTGATCTCGAAGCTGGTGATTTTGCAGGAGAGTTTCCATTGTGTAAGCTGCTCCACAAATGTCACATCCATACATGGGCTCAGATGTATCAACATCTTCTTCACTGCCATCATGGCTGTTATGGGACTCCTGACTATTTGTCAACAAGGTTTGGAGTTCCACTTCCTCTTTCTGAACTTGCTCCGATGCTCCATTGGTTCCACAGTTTGGCGTTTTAGTTTCAAAAACACAATGCTTTTCCCTCAGGTGTTTCTCCAGCAAGATAATAGCATGGAAAGCTTTACTACAGAACTTGCAGTTGTACTTCTTGCTGTGTGTAGTAATGTGGCACTGAAGCTCCACCTCTGTACCAAACGACTCACCACAGAAAATGCACTTGTGCACTTTCCCTTGGTTCTCCAGGTGGTTATGTTTAACATGCAGCTGTAGGTCAGTTTCATTGCGGAAGTCCCAATTACAAGACGTGCATCTATATACCTTCTTTTCATTGCTGTGCTTCACAGCAAGGTGTAGCTGAATGGAGACTTTGGAGTCAAAAACCTCTTGACACAGGGTGCAGCGAAAGAATACAAACGTATGCATGTCAAGCAAGTGTTTCTGTAAGTCATCCACCGAAGTGAATTGCTTGTCACAACTTTCACAGATATAGTAGGTAGAGGTTATCATGAAATGAATTGTTACATGCTTCAGCAGAGACTCTTGATTTGGGAACTCCTTGTTGCACTGTGGGCATGTCAGTTTTGGCAGGACAGTGTCAAGGTGTGTTTTTAAATGAGTTTGAAAACCATCCAGGGAAGTATACTTAGCACCACATTGATTACAAATATATTCACCTGCAGGACGTGGAGGAGCACCACCTACAGCCTGCATCATCTTTAAAGAGGTCTGCTCTATAGTAACTGGAGATAAGGGGCTCATGGCTCTGGATTTTTTTCCATTGTGGATGTAATTCAGTGCCAAGGGAATGTTCTTATGGTTCTCCTTGATATGCTTGTTCAATTTAAGAACACTATTGAATATTGGAGAATTTGTGCAGTAGGAACAAGAATATACCTCTACTACTGGATCTTTTGGGGTTCCAAGTACAGGGGAACCAAAACGGGAACTGCTAAGATCACAATGGACTTGTCTAATATGCTCTTCCAGAGAAGAATCAGTAAGAAATCCCATGTAGCAATGGGGACAAAAAAATGCATTACTGTCCTTAGCAGCAGGGTTTGCAAAACCATGAGAACAACGGATATGTTCCTGAAGAGTGTTGAGGTCATTGAATACTTCAGAGCAGAAGTTACACTGGTAGACCATGGCAGGCATGGTAGAAAAAATCAATGCTGGGTCGGGGGCTTCATGGACTTGCTTAAGATGTTCATTCAGATTGTACAGTGAGGGAAATACCTCCAAGCAATACTGACAAATATGGGCTTGTTCAGGCTTATCTAAATGCATAGTTTTCAGATGTATCTGCAGAACTGCAAGGCTTGAAAATAACTGTTTGTTGCAATAAATGCAGCTATAGGTAACCTTTGCTTGTTTACTTGAAGGACCAGTAATGTCTGGTACTTGTTGGGCTGCCCTTTTCCTTCCACGACCCTTTGTAATTGGGGGAGCAGCTTCTACCATCGTCGAACTGTCCACTGAAAGATTTGAATCTGGAGTGGTACTAGATACTGAGGTGTAACCAACAGTTACCAAAGAAGGGCTGTTGCTATGATTGCATGATTCTGGTTGCTGGTGACTATCCATGTGGCTGTACAGTTCTTCAACAGTATGGAAGTTCTCTGAGCAAATGCTGCATGAGTTCTTCTTTTCACCATTATGAGCCTGCTCCATGTGATTTACAAGAGACGTTTCCTCTACAAAGAGTTCATGACAGTAAACACACTGAAGAGCAGACCTGTCCTCATTTGGAGAGCACTCAGGGTGACATTCTGCTATGTGTTTCTGAAGATCTTCAGGAAAATCAAAGCCTTCCTCACACTGACTGCATTTCTGAGTGTCTTTCATCTTCCAGTCCTCCATCCTGGAAGCAGACTGAGAACCATCTTTGTTCCTCTCATGAACCTGCATGTGACCATGCAGAGAACTTGATGAAAGGAATCCACGTCTACAAATGGCACATTTATATGGCTTGTTGGACGTATGAGTCTTTAAGTGAATTTTAAGATGATCGCTTCTTGAAAATGCTGCATCACACTCACTGCAGTGATACTTCTTGTCTCCTGTGTGAAGTTTTATATGGCGGTCTCGGCTCCGCTTGTGTTTAAAGAGGCGACTGCAATACGTGCATTTGAAAGGGAGTTTGTCACTATGACTTTGCTCATGATGCTTTAAGTAGCTGAGGCGGCTGAATGACTTGTCACAAAACTGGCATGGATAGGGCAATCCTGGGACACCTTCTTCTTCACCAAAATCACAACCTTCTCCATGGCTGGGTGAAGTCTGGTCTTTGCTGGAGGGGGATGAAGCTGGCCATGAACAGGTAGGGTCATCCTCAACATCCACTCCATCTGAAATAAGACAAAGGATGTCCAAAAACTTAAATCAACCCCAACTCAAAAGATACACTAAAAGGTATATAAGCATACACACAGACCTAACATTGCAAAAAAAGCTGAAACAAACATGCAACTTTTCAACTTGGAACATGATATTTTTCAAACCCAGATCCAACAGCTTTTTTCCTACATATATTTTTACCACACTGTAAAATATGAAAAGTTATTAAATAGTTCTATGCTTATATTACCCTTTTATTGCTTTTTATAATTTTTTTTAGTTGCAGGATATGTATTATACATTGACAACTTTATTAAAATGCAGATTTTAATATATTTAATGTTTCTTTGTATCCATTGTAAAATGATTTGCATATTATGTGAGCACCTGAACAGTCAAATGAAAGGAGGAAATATTACTAGAATGATTTAAAATTAATGCAGTCAACCCACATGACTAATACTTAATAAAAAAAATTCCATCTGCTTTTCCCTCATTTTCCCCCTCAAAGTTGGTTCTGAAAATGGAAATCTTTTAAGGGGTTATTATTGATATAGACCTTTGTGTTTTCAACAAAATAATATTAAAAAATTACAGGGGAGGAAAAGGACAAAAACGTAATAAAAGTGATGTCTTCTGCAATAAAATACAACCAGGATTTCTTCAATAACTATACAATTCAGTAAGCAAGAGCCAGCAAATAGATTATAAAATGTTCAAAACACACAAACAAATATTATACTAAGTCAGCTAGGATCAAGGAAAATGAAAAAGATTCACAAAAGCCAGATCTTAACAGTGCTTTTATATATTTATTTATTTTTCGAGTTCAAGAGGTTGCCCACCACTTCTTCCTTTTTGCAAAAGCCTCAGCCGACTGAACTTCCTTAGTTAAACAGAACCTGTACATTTAGGTGATCATAGACAAAGCTACTTGTGAAAAACTGGAAACAGGAAAAATGATTAATGATAATGGTAAAAGCTGAAAGATTTATGACTAACAAAGAAAAGGCAAACAGGAATGCAAGCCAGATAGTAAACTAAACTAGTTTTGCAATTAAATTATTACTTCACCTCTGCACTGGGCCAATTTTAACAACGTGCTTAACAGGTGCTGTCTGGGATTTTTGCAGCCCCCCTCCTTTTATTTATTTATTTTTTTAACAGAGAAGGATATGCTTTAGCAAACATTTGTCTTAGCATAAAACTTTTTTTTGTAAAAAAAAAGAATGCTCAACAGTCCCATCTGAAACAAATCTTTATTCCCCACCAGGAGTAGCGTCATCTTGTTTCCTTTAAAAAATAAAGTTGATTAAGATAACAGTATAGAAAAAGTGTGAGTAAACCTTCAAGGAAAAAAAAAATTAAGGTATTTTTCAACAAAGGTTAGGTTTTCTAACTTCTCCAGCCTCCTAAGAAGAAACTTATCATATTAACATGAAAGTTAGCGTTGGCTTGTATTATGTAAACAAATTCCAAGCCTGCTTTCTTTAAGGTAACAAGATTTTACTAGATTATCAACCTCTTGCTTATCCACAGGAAACAGATGAGGATTCATTTCTTTCCTGCATCTAGAAACTGATGACAACACCATCTCACTATCTATGCCAGATGGCAACCATCTAACTCTGAGAAAACAACCAAACACCATTCCTGGATTTCTGCCCATTGCAACAATGCTTTTCAATATAAATTGAACACTGCATGATTTTGTATCCTCTTGTTTATTCCTCTGAAAGACAGGATTTCACAAATGACATAGACATTGCACACGTTTACACACGGCGTATACATATATATGGAAGGCTGGCTTGCAACAAAGACATGTATTAAGAAAAAACAATTACCACCTCTTTCAACTGTAAACAAAGGTACTCATATATATCTGTGTGTGTGTGTATGTAAAAAAAGCTTCCAGTTGCTCACATACTATCATCTGCTAAAATGCTTACTGAAGTATTGTAAGCAAAGTCTCTCACCCTTTGGGATAATATTAAGAATGTTGGATTTTTAAAATTGTGGCATTAAATGGCTGTTTGATTCTCATGAGGCTTTCAATATAAATCTACAACTGCCCTTTCAAAATGCTAGATTTGACTTAATAAACTAGAGCTGGTCATTAAAAACAAACAAACAACTCAGAATTTTTCTTAATTCATACCCCATTTTCTGAAATTTTATTTTGATAGGGATTTTCCTGGGAGCATTATTAAGGACCCTTCCTTCCCCCCCTCCTTTTGTCATTTAAAAATCAAATACATTTCTGACATATGAACTACTTTACACTTCTGGCAGATAAAAAAGAATTTATGTCATTCAGCTGAGCAAAGAAAAATAGTTTGCAACTGTCTAGGCTACATATTTTGTAACCAAATTTGGCATTAAATTGTGTAACCTATGCAGACATGATATATTATTGTATAAATGTTTGGAGGAATATATAGGAAGTGTTATAAATAGGCTACTATCACTGACACTGCAGTAAATCACTTTCTTTTTGTGGCCACTGTCTGCCTGTTTTTACCTATTATATAACTATTCTCTCTGGGTTGTAAATCTCAGTGGGATGTCAAGCAGGCTGTAGGTTCAAGTTCAAGTTCTGAATGTGACCATGCTACAGTACAAGCAAATGGTAGTTTCTCTCCCACCTTTCAATTCCCCTTGCTTGCTTATGATATGTTCCTTTAAGCTTGTGTACAAGGTAAAAAAAAATCAGACAGGGAATTGGGTTAATAAAGTACAAAAGTGGTTCTTATTGTCCAACTAACCTGCATAAAATTTCTATTCAGCTTTTTTCCTTTTTTTTTCCGAATGAAGCCCAAAATGAATCAGTGTAATAATCCTCAGCATAAAAAAAGAACAAAAACTCATTTAAAACAAAATTAATACTTACACAGCCTTATTTTTATAATTATATTTTAAAATTGAAAATCTACCTCTTCAGCACAATATAACTATCTATTCTCCTAGCAATGCATGGGGAATTTCCTTCATAACAGTGCAAGGAGATTCAGTACGGGCCCTTAACACGCCACCACACTTGATGAGGCCGGCTTGGATAGAGTCCCGTAATTTATATATATGTGGATCTTGTGACCATTCCAGAAATTAGAGGGCAGTGGGAGCTACTACTTTATCTTATTAACTGGGAAAGCATCATGAGAAGAGCTACACTCAGTTCTACTCCCCATTTCCATGTAGTTCCATATACAAGTTTGGTGCTGTGTTGAGAGAATAAATTTTACCCACTGATAGAAGAACAGACCCAAAATCCCTTTTAGCCAGTTTCCCTAATAGAAAATACAAGTAGTTCATTGCTACTCCACATATATCCATGTGTATAAATTTTATAGACGCCTACACACCGACCTATGTCAACATTACTAATACTAATTTAAATGTTATGACAAACTCTTGTAAAATACTCTGGATCAAATTCAGATGCACACCTACAGCTCCACCAAGGTCAATGGGAGTCATACACATCTAGCTGAGAGAAGAATAAGGCTCCGCATATTCTATGGAGTACTTACGGGGTTTTAAATATATATTTTCTGTATCGAGTTATATTTTTTTTTCCTTCTACACTCACTAAGTGCTACTTACCGTAAATGGTTTTTTTGTGTTATGGCAAGTATTCTGCGTTTTGATGTGATGCACTTAACATGTCAGTGTAAATTTTTAATTTTTGGAACCAGTCACTTCACACTAGCTGCCTCTAAGAGGGCTCCAGCGCTCACAACCAAAAAACTTTGTTGGAAATCGGCTACGAGGCCTAAAAGTCTATTTAAAGATGCAAATGTGAGTGAATAGTTAGTGCAGATGTTTTTCTACAGGAACTGTACTTGCTGAGTTTCACCATTTCCATAAAGCACATTAAAACAAGTGTGTGAACACTCTGAGATGAAAGTACCAAACACTCCTGAGAATTCCAGTGGAAAGTAGAGCTGCCTGACTTTTCTCCAAGCAGACAGGAATGCCCATGATTCAGCAGCCTGAGTAAATAAAAGAGGTCCTTATTTCCTAATTTTGCTGGCTGGCCACACTGCAGCAGTCTCTGTGCTGCTGCCAAAGGGGATGCAAAACTGGAACTACACCCAGCAGCTGAAGGACTGTCTTTGTTAGCCAGCCAGGCCTTCCTGACCATCTTCTGGCAACAAGACTGCCATATCCTGCAAGGAAGACCTCCATCTCAGGCTGGATAGTTCTGTAGACTGCCTAATACGACTAAACAACAGATTTTGCCTGGTCTGTGTTGGAGGAGGACAGCTGGAAACTCAGTTAGTAGCAGAGTAACACCTGTTCAGTCATATTTATGGGGGAAAGTGCTCACTAACAGAAAAGTGAAGTAATTCCAGGAGTTATTCCATGGAGAGGGGGAGGTGTGCATGAAAGCACAAAGCACCTCTGTGGTGCTAGCAGCCAGGCACTCATGTGCCAACCTCAGTAGTTGCAAAGTCTTGAAAGTGATCGTATCCCGAATGCTGCCGACCGAATTAACAGTGCTGCTTCAGAAAGGGCCATTTAGTCACTAGGAAGGTGTATGACATATGCACATTTTGACTGAAATATGCTGCAGGGCAGGAGGAGTTGCTGGCATGCATTATTTTTCTATGTGATTTAAACAGTACATGTTTTGCCGCTCTGTTCCTTAAAAAAAAATTGCAGTGAACCTTTAAATAACAATAAATGACATTTTTGCTGTGCCTCTGGACCAAAAAAAAATAATAATCACAAAGCATTTTTAAAGAGTCATGTATTAAGCTTCTGAGTATCCTGACATAACGTTAGTATATTTTTGCCATTTTACTGATGCGGTAAACTGAGGCATGGAAACAGAGTATGATTTGCTTCTAGTCACAAACATCCTAATCTGACTAGGCTAGAATAGAACCTAGGTCACCAATGCTGTGTCCTTCCCAGAAAAAAAACAAAAAACAAAAACACCTCTCTTGTCTGAAGCAAGGAGTCGCCAGAAAGCTTAATTGCTACAAAATTACCACAGAACCCA